TCTGCAGGATGTGAGTATTCTGGGGCAGAGGGAAAGGGTGGGATCTTGCTTTGTCCAAAGTAATGGCTGTTCGTGTTGGAATGACTCCGGCTGCAGAGGAAGAGGAGGAATCAGGGTGCTGTAGTTACACAAGTGCCACCTGTTAGTGCATCCCTTTGCTTTGTATGTTGCTGTTTGTCCACGCTCAGAAGACCTTGTGTTTGTGTAGATCAATAGCATAAGCTTGAACGGACCAACCTTCTGATAGGAAAATGAAGTATTAATTTACAGCTCAAAGATCAGTGGTTCCTGGTACTTCAAATTGTGCTTATGTATAGTGTACTTTTGGATCACAGCTTGAATCTTATCCCACTTGTCTGTGAAGGGACAGTTCATGTTAAGCGACATTTGAGGGCAGTTAAGGGACATTTATGTTGTTTAGATTATGAAAAGTTGACTTGCTAGCTAAAGGGGAAGGGATTAGCATTAGTTCTCAGTGTGGTGACACTTGAGCATCTCTATCAAAGAACTTAGATAAATGAGACTTTATTAGGAAGGTTCTGGGTTAGATTAAGATATAAATACATCTGCCTATGAACAGGAGGGGAATCAACTCTTTGAAAGGGTAGATAACAGCAGGACAAGGGGAAATGGTCTGAAATTGAAGGAGAGAAAATTTAGCTTGGATGACAAGGGAAGTTCTTTACTCTGAGAGTGGTGAGGTGCTGGAACAGCTGCCGAGAGAGGCTGTGGATGCCCTGTTCTTGGAGGTGTTCAAGGCCAGGTTGGATGGGGCCCTGGGCAGCCTGGTCTGGTATTAAATGGGGAGGTTGGTGGCCCTGCTTGTGGCAGTGGGGGTTAGAGATTCATGATCCTTGAGGTCCCTTCCAACCCTGGCCATTCTATGATTCTGTGTATTGAATCTAGCATCTGTATTTTAGATGTGTTCATGCAAGTTCGCTTCCTCCTAACAGTTGAGTCCTATGTGTATGCACTGGTGCAATTTCCTACTTGCTGTTTGCTGTGGCATTGCGTTTAAGTATATGTTCAGGTCCTAAGGGCTGGTCCTAACCTGGAGCTTAACCGTTTGCTTTGGGATGAGGGCACGATCATGGGATGAGAGACCTGATCAAACTGAATTGATGCTTATAGGACTGTAGGAAGGACTGTGTGTGTGTGTGTGCGTGTGCGTGTGTGTGTGTGGAGGGGCAGGACGCAAGGACTGTTGGGATGGAGAGTAATTAAGATGGCAGCCAATCTTTCTCTGTTTTTTCTTTTCCTCCTTGTGTTTCTGACACGCTCTGGCTGAGAGCTGACTCGGTGTGTGCGAAGTAACTGAGCGGTGCCTTCTTTCTTTGTTTCCTGCAGGCTGGTATGTGGTCTGGCAATTGTTTTTGTCTAAATTCAAGTTCCTGAGAGAATTGATAGGCGATACAGGTTCCCAGCAAGGGGACAACGAGCCTTCGGAGACAGAAGCTGAACAGGAGACTCCACCCTCACCACAGAGAGGTAGACAGAAATCTGCTCGGCAGCGAAGGGCACCTGCAGAAGAAACAACTTAAAATAGTCCTTCGAACTTCTGGCTAACTATGAATGGTTCAGCACCTCTGCACTGTGTTGTTCAGTGGTTTGCTCTTACTGAAAAACTGACGTAAGAGGTAATATTAATACCCGTGGACCTTTGTTCTGGGCTGTCAATACGTACTACTTTGGGTTCAGGGAGGGCTTCAGCAGCGAGTCAAAGAATACTGAAAGAAATGAGGTGGAGAGAAATCTCCTTCAGAAAAATGCTCAGCTGCTGTAGCTCTTGTCCCTGCACACAGATGAAAAACAGGTCCTGGACCATAGGCTTAGCCTCTGCAGTTGTCTGAACATAATATACATTTCAGACTTGAAACAGTTTCTAAATTATTTTTCTTTACAGCACTGCAACTACATATAGTGAAATTGAATTTTATTTCTTTAGGTATATATGAATATATATATTTTTTCAACCGTGAGAACACGTGATAACTTGAAAAGTGGTTGAAAGAATATCCTGCTTTAGAAAGTATTCTAAAGTGAAATTTTTTTACTTATATCTGTGTAAATGAAATATGAGAAAACAATGTTAGATTAACACAGTTAAGAAGTTTTGGCTATCTCCATTAAAAAAAGGAATTGGGTCAGGAGACCTGTTTTCTTGGTTTTGACACAAGAAGGGTTACAGGTAGAACATTTCTGATAGATTTCTTTGTTCCTCCTGAACCTTTTATTTGAAGTCCAACTTGTGCTGGAAAGGAGAAGGTGCCTAGATTATATACTTATTAGCGACCTGTAGTGTCATCCTTGGCTTTGGGATACGAAGTGTTTCTCTTTTGAACACTTTTACATCAGGTATCTGATACCAGGTGTAAGTCTTGCCCTGGAACCAATTAAGGCATTCTGACCAATTTAGTAGATATCACTTTAATGCTTTGGTAGTGTTACAGCAATGAATTTGGTACCTCATGTTTGGTGGAGGACTTACTGATGTTTATCAGTAACGAGCTGTTGCTCCTTTTTGAGAGTGAGTTCAACAGTGGTTCTGACATTGCACTTCAGGATTTGGAGATTTGGTTCTCTTCATCAACCTTGAAGACTGCATGAGATCTTTGGGAAGAGGACATGGAGGTCCCACCTCTCTGTGTGTGTGGAGGGGGAAAAACTACCAAAATGTCTGCTTCATTAACGGCTTCACTTCTCTCTCAAAACTAGATATTGCTTCACTGTGTAAAAACTACTGTTTATCAGGACAACAAAATTGTACTTTGAGCTGTTAAGGAGTTTAAACTATGTAACTTTCAAAGTTTGGTTTGCTTGCATAGCTAAAAGCAGCAACATTTAATCTTTCTCATTAAGTACACCTTTATTTGGCAAAAGACTATTTCTCTGGTGCCTTTGTTTTAATTTGTCGTCTGTGAATGAAAGTTAATGAGAGCATTCACTTTGCAAATGGTTTGGGTGTTTCAGCATTAAAGCACACAGAATTAGTCTGGACCTTCCTTGGAAGTCTAAAAGGTGTTGTTTTAGTTGCTAGCATGTATATATAAGCATGCTTTGTATTACAGGATTACACTTTCAAGCATGACTAGACAGTGCTACACTCACATCCTTGAAACACATGTAGAAATACAACAGTCTTATTCCTCTGTCCTCACTACTGACAAGGGAATTCCTAATAATGTTTCTTCACGACTAAAATTGCATCTGTTCAAACTGAACAGAAGCAATCCGACTCTTTTTTCCTGCTGCTTTCTGTTGTTTGCCCTGTGCAACTTAATGTCACTATATTCTTGTACCTGTTTATCTTCACACAATGAGGTTTTCAGCTCAGCAGTGATAACCAAGTTCTGGAGCACTTTTCTTAAGAAAAGTGTTTACCATTTCTGTCTTTGAGCTTTACTTATGTGGGCTTGCAAGTGAGATAGTTCTATTTTTGGTCTTGATGTGGAATGTTAACGCTCCACTGCACTTCTGCCTATATGTAAGTCCAGTGAAGATGGCAAAAGGCTCATGCTTTGAGTATCTTCAGCTGAGATAAGTAAGTTGACTCGGTCTCTGCTTCTCATAGCTGTGAAGAAATGTGAAGTTACAGCAATAAATATAGCTAGCCAGAGCAGCTCTAAGGGAATAAGAATCAAGACTCTGGAACAAGTTAATGAAGGAAAATCCATGCAGGTTTGAATGCTGACAATGATTAAATATGCAATTAGATAGTAGTTGAAAACAAATGGATGTGGAATCTTTGGATGGTTCATCTGCTCCAGCCAGACAAATCCCTTTGTGGTTTGTAAGTGTACATTTCATTCCCAAAAGCTATTTTCAGTCTTTTTTTTTTTTTTTTTTTAAACATCTGATGCTATTTTTTTAAAGCTGCTGTGACATAGCTGCCAATAATGGTATCTGCCTAGTGTATAACATTCACAATCTTATTAGTAGCAGCCCAAGGGCTTCTATTATGAGGTTAGGAAGGCTTTTGTAATACTGGTATTTTCTGTCAACACACAGTTTTTTTTTCTTTTTCTGGAGAGTCTGTAATAATATCTTTGTGCAGGGCACTTCATGCAAACCTGTAAAATGAAGCTGCGAGTGAAAGCACATTGTGATAAGACCTGGGTTGTGATTGCTGGCAGTCCAATATACTCATGTCTTTCAATATTTTTACTGGTGTACTTCTAAAATGTTACTGGTGAATAAGCACTTAACTTTGAATGGAACCATTCAAGTCCGAAACCTTATGAAGGCAGCAGGTTATGTATTTGAGCCTTTTTGTTTAGTAAAATCTATTTTTGAAACTGTTCATTGCCTTATTGTTGCAGCTGTTCTATTGAATGTACTTCGGGTTGATTATTTTAAATATATTCATATCACTTTTGTTGCAGGGGCTGTGTAACTATTGAATAAGCAGTGATTACTTGTATGTGGCAGTTAATTAAACAGTTAATGTCAGGAAGGCTGGAACAAATGCAGCTTGGACTGGTGGAACAAAGTAAGAAAAGTATTGTTAAAACATAAGAATGTAGACAATTGCTTCTGACTGAATTGCATAATTCAAACCTGTTAGTGAGCCACTATGGCTGTTATCATGGTGATCTGATGTTTGTTCATAAGGTTAATTCTGTGCAGTTCATCCACTTAGCACTGCTGCTGTAGCTATCTGCAGTAAACACCATATACTGTCCAGCAACTTGTGGGCAACTTGCTGCTTAACATCAGGTTTTACACTGAACTAGACCTCTGTATGTACTCCTGTCTTGTTTGGAAATGACCAGCATAAAAAAGGGTTCTATGTGGTCATTTGCTTCTTCAGTGTTAAGATACTGTACCTAAAGCTTCTGTGGTTATCTGTTTTCATCATGTTAACTGTTTTAACTGACTGTGCAAAGTAAAAAAAATAATAATAATAAAGTAACCAGACTTGATACAAGTACTTGATCAGAGTGACTTTCTGCCTTTTTTTTTAATAGCAGTTTTTCTTTAGACTGCAACACCACAAAAGAAGACTAGTCAGAAGCTGGATTTCAACTGGTGTGGCTCCTACAGTGACTTCATGATGAAAACCGGGTTAGTATGCATCTTTTTAGAGTGTGTGTGTTTGGAAGATGCTTATATGTAAGTGGGAATGTTCAGGGATTGATGACTGGTATCAGATGGTTGCAGAAAAGCAAGCAGGTGATTTAGTGGATGCTGATTGCAAGAAAGCATGGTGTAGCCTTTTCCAGAAGGATGGATCAAGCTGCTGCTGTGCAACTCTGCCCTGAATTCCACAGCAGGCTGTGCTAGCTGGTAGTGCTCCTTCCCCACAGGTACTGGTGTGCTGTCCTTGAGATTTTTGTGTGGCTCTTATCCTATACGATGAATACAGGTAGTTTCTGTAAAACAGGCTGTGCTTTATCTTGTTTGGGTTTCATATGAACATTTTGCCCTAGAATTAGGCTAGAAAAGAGTTGCATAAATATGCTGTGTTTTAATCCTTAAAGACATGTATTTTAGTCTATTCCTCATGAATCAGAAGCTCTTACGTTAGAATTGTAGAATCCTTAGAGTTGGAATGGGCCTTTAAAGATCACTTAGTCCAACTCTCCTGCAATGAACTGGGACATTCACAGCAACATTAGGTTGCCCAGGGCCTGATCCAGCCTGGCCTTGAAAGTCTCCTTGTTGTGAGTATATTATCTCTGGTATTTTTAATCACAAAACGAAATTTCATCATAGATTTCATAGTATGATTAAAATTTTTGAGTGGAATGGACAGACTGTATGTAGACTGTTTGTGAAAAGGAAGAGAAGGGCTTAGATCTAGTCTGGGGCTTCCATTGACAAGTAGCAGTGCTAGTCTTGCCCTGTAGGCAAAAAGAATTGTTAGAAGAACCTGTGGATGGAAAATCAGCATCATGGAGCAAATGGCAGAAAGTCAAGCTTCTTTAAACAACAGCTTTAAGCTTTAAACAACAGCTAGGAAAGCAGAGATGAAATAAAGGGGCCCTGCGATGAGGTCTTGACAAATTTTAGATCTGGGATGTTAACAACTGCATGAAGTTTAAGATGCAGTTAAACTGCACCTGAGATGTGACAGTTCTGACTGTACACACAGACTGGGGATGAGGCACAGCCCCACATAAGGGATCTGAAGGTTTTCTTTCACCAGTAGAACTCAAACCATTCGGAGGACAAACATCCAGTGGGTCTGTGCTTTGGTTTTGTCTGTTTTAGAAATGGGGACGTTGTGTTTGATGTCTTAGCTTTTATTCTCTTCCATCTCTGTTCACAAGGCTCTTCTGCTTTTGAAGTGGAAAATGGATCACAAGTACTCCTTTCTCTTAGTGTAGAGACCCTATTATCTAGAGGGGAATGACACCAATCATCTTGCTTTGGGGTCGTTGTCAAAGCACTGACCATCTATGCTGCTTGTGATGTACCTCTCTACTAGCATGGCTTATGCATACTGCCACCAGGGCTCTGGCAGTGTCCTTGAACAGAAGGAGGAGAGGACATGTCCTGTATCAGGGAGCTGTGGTTTGATAGCTGTTAGGTTTATTTAACAGTTGCAGCGTTTAATTACTAGAGATGACGTTCACTGCAACATCTGTTCTTACAGTTCCCAAAGGATTCAGATACAGAGAGCAGACTTAATTTTCCTTTTCCTTGTCTCTGGTTCCAGGGTGTACTTGTATTTCCCCTAAATGCTGCAGTAGCAGTGTGGATATCAGAGCTCATCCCTGGCTGGGCTTCTCAGGCAGGTGAATTGGTTGCAGGACGGGTTCTTGTTCAAAAGCCTGGCAGATTTTGTTTTTAGAGTTGGATGGAAAGGGAGCTCTGGGCCCAACTTTTCACCACTAGATGGCATGGGCCTTCAAGCTTTGCTCTAGTGGTCACACTGCAGGAGAACTATTGCGTGTGCCCATTGGGGCCAATGTAGTTGTGTTCCTTTTCATTTGCTGTGCCTGCTTTTAGCAATCCTCTTGGCTGGGAAGGATGAGGGAGTGGACGTTCTGATTTGGTTGCATACTTCGTGCCAAAAAAGCCATGAGCCACATGCAGAGCCCCAAGCCTAGGGAGGATCATGCTTTATTTGTGGCAGAGGACAAACACTGTGTTTGGTTTTGTCAAGGAAGGTGACCTTAAAAATGGATCATCTGCCTTGAAGGAGGAGATATCAAAGTACCCAGAGGTATCCGCTTTTCTTACCATTCACCACAAATAGAAGCAGCACTTCTTTACCTCTCAAGGTTATGAGCAATGTGTTGCATTGTGAAGACCAGCTTGAAGGAATGATCTTGTTCTGTTTTTTGGTTTTCTTTTTCTTATTTTCTGGCCTAATCGTAGGACCAAACTGTCTGCTATCCAGGTCCCTTCAGACACAGCCCACAGTTGCATCTCTCCCACTGCTCGCAGTTTCACTGCAGGGCTGTGAGGTGGAATGCTGGCCCACCAGGTCTGCCCTAAATCCTCCTTACTACTGAGCAGCTGCTCTCCAGCTGTAAAACAAAAGCTCACAATTAGCTCACTTAATGCTAACCTTGCAGGGAGGATTTTAATATTAGGCTTGGGGAGAGAGCCTTGTCATGTTTTGTTTGCATTGAAGACAGGAGTCCTTGAGAAGAGCGGTGAGATAAAGAGGTGGTGGGAGCTGTGCTGGCTGGTGAGTCATCCTGTTGGTTCAGGCTAGGGGAGAAGCAGGGAATGTTTTCTTGCAAAGAGTTTGGAGAAACCTGCATTTCCTTTGTGCCCTTTGTTTGTTAGACAGGAGTAATAACAAATCCCTTCTATCAAACGTAATGTTTACACTGAGAAACAGCCTCAAGCAGCTTATTGTAAGTAATTGTGCAGGGGTTTTGGCAATGGGACCTTGTGGTCAGCCTGGTACCAACAGCTGGGGGAGAGATGGGGGTGCTTATCTCATTAATGGATCACAGCAGGGCTGTGTTCACAGCTCTGGGACTCATTACAGCAATTCCTACAAAAGTGATGCCAGCTGCCAGTGGGGCTGTGCTCATCCCTTAGGTAGATCTGTGTATTGTGAGCAGTGACAATAGCTGCAGGTGAAGCACTGCGGTGCCATGTGCTTGTTCCTTATAAAAAATTAACTTTGACATACAGCATGATAAAAGCCAAGTGAGTTCTCCCTTTCTGGAATGCAGGTTAATTACAGGTACCAGTTTCCACCTCCTGAGATAAAAGGCTTTTATGTGGGTTGCTCCTACCATCCTTCCTAAAATCAAAGCGCAGGGTGGAAAAACAAGTCCATTCTTCTTATTCGTGGCTGCTCACTCTTGTGCCTTTTTATCTTTGAGCTCTCTGGCAATAAAGCCAGGCTAGAGGCACAGCATGGGGGTGTGCCCCAAAGCCTTATACCTGTACAAAAAGTTTTGATGTGTATTGCAGTTCCATTCTGTGAGACACTCTAGAACCAGAGCGGGCTCCTGCTCTCTTCCCCTCTCCTCCTCATCCCATCTCTTGCAGGTTTTTCTGCTTGCTGCTTCTGGCCTTGCACAAATACTGGGTGCTTCTGGGACATTGTTTGTGTGCCTTCCCAATCCCAAGTGGTTCAGGCAGTGCTGGCTGTGGGACTGAACAAGGCAAAGTCAGCTGAGCAGGGAGCTGTGAATGGCTGCTTGCTTTTCTGCTTCTGCATTAAAGAAACAGCTCCAATCATGTTTCTTGTTACTAAGAGAAATTGCAGTGAGCAATTAAAAAAAATAAATAGGCTGAGCTTTGTGTATCTCCTGACATGTTGTCTTCCCTTGTTCTGTGCTTGCTGCAGTCAGCTCTACATATCAAGTTGCTGCTTGCAGGGAAAGAAATAGGGTCCCTCTTTGAGCTCAGAAACCTTTGGCAGGGAGATGGTACATGTGCTGGATTCGCAGCAGCTGCAGCAGTGTTCTTTGTGCATGGGCTCTGCAGGTGCTGGGCTCTGCCCTCTGGGAAGTCATGGAGGCAGTAATAGAAGGAACACACCTCTAAAGGTAATGCTGGCTAGGAGGACTGAGCTTGGAGGAATGTAAGGGGACAGAGGAAAGCAAGCAAGCTGTGCTGGTTAAGGTAGAGCAGGCAGCCTGCATTTGAGGTTCAGCAGAGAGAACTGTGTGATCAGAGAATTTTTTAAGTTGGAAGGGACCCTTAAAGGTCATCTAGTCCAACTTCCCTGCAATGAACAGGGACAGCTACCCAGGGGACAACAGGGACAACTGCCCAGAGCCCTCTGGGCAGCCTGGTCTAGTGGTTGGTGACCCTGCACATTACAGGGGGGTTGAAACTAGATGATCCTTTTCAACCCAGGCCTTTCTATGATTCTATGAACTACAGCCATATCAGGTTGCTCAGAGCCCCATCCATCCTGACCTTGGATGTCTGCAGGTACAGGATCTTTCACCATCTCTTTGGATAAGTTGTTCCAGCCCCTCACTACCCTTACTGTAAAAAAAACCAAAACAAACAAATAAAAAACCAACAAACAAAACCCAAAAAAACTTATATCCTGTCTAAATCTCCCCTGGAGGCAGAATGGGCTCTGGCACTGTAGTGGGAACACTAAGTCACAGCTGGAATCAGTGATAGAACACCTGGTGGGAAGGCAGGGCCAACCCAGTGGAGCTCAGGTGCAAGCAATCACCTGAGTAAACAGAAGCTCCTGGCTCCACCCCTTCTCAGATCTCATTTAGGGGTTGGCAGTGGTGGTGAGGGTATCTCGTCTGGAGATCCCTGCCTGCTGGAGTACCTTCCAAAGGTAAGATTTCTTCATTTGTTTCTGTGGCTGTTGCATTTGGGCTCGTCCTCATTTACTGCAACCGCAGAGTGCCACCCCACTGTTATCACTGTACTTTCCATCACGTTATAGTGTTACAGGCACAGAGCAACTGCAGAGGCTTGGCTGTAAGCAGAAGGATGGTGCTTCTGGTGCAGGAATGCTCTGAAGTGTGCTGGCAGGAGATGTAGGAGGGATGTATCCCAGATGAACAGATCAGAGAATGCTCTGGAGTGTGAGGATGCTGGGGTGTGATCTGGTGAAAGTGTGAGAGCTTGACTCATATCTCCTGCGTTGTCTTTGCTAGAACGGCAGGCGGAAGATTTGCTGAAGCTGCAGCCATACAGTGCAGGCACAAATGTAGCAGCTGTGCAGTGGGAAATCCCAGAGGCAGCAGCAGGGCGTTGTTCAGGATGAGGTGCAGTGAAGTAGTTCCTGTGGGCCCTAAATATGGATATTATTATGGTGGACCAGAAAATGTCCTTGAAATCTGCTGTTTTCAAGAGTGACCTTTCTCCCTCAGACAGCTCTTTCTCATGGGCCATCACTTGGTTGCCAAACAGCAGCAGTTTGTTAGCAACAGCCCAGGGATGCCACGAACTTTTTGCCACAAGCATGCAGCCAATCCCTGCCAGTCATGAGCTTCATTGCTGTTTCTCTCACAGCTGTGGTGTTTGACAGGAGGGCAATGCCTCAACAGCAGGGAAATGGGGAAATAAGGTTTGGAAAAGATCATCATCCTTAGAGCCACATGGTTGTTTCAGGTGCTGTCTGGAACCTGGCATGCTCAACTCAGCACACATTAGGAGAAGTAAAAGCAAGAAAAAGACCAAATGTTGGCTTTTTTATTTAAAAAAACAAAACAAAACAAAAAAAAAAACCAACAACACCAAAACAACAACAAACCAACCTAGACATGTAATGATTTTAAAATGACTCTACAAAATAACAAACTGTACTACAGGCTTATGATTAATGTTCTCCTTTTGAAAGTACAAACTACTGACATAACAGGTATGCTTCAAAACGCCTTCTCAGTTTCTAAGAATATACAACGAAAAAATGAACAAGGAAAACCAAAGCAATCCCAAACAGCAAAAGTACAAAGTAGGTTCAGGCAGATGGTTTTTGGCAATTGGCTGTTGGTTACAGTAAGACAGCCAGCATGTGGCACTGGGGCTGACTTTGGTGCTGCTGCGACTGTACTACCTCCTATCTCCAGGCCTTGCTGGGGACCTTCTGCAGACTTGGGAAGGGATGGGATGGCAGTTAAGAGCAGTCTTCTCTCTGAGGCAACACATCAAGGCAGTAAAATATCACACACTGCTGGAATGGTTTTGTTTCAAGGCAACAAATCCCACTTGCAGTAAGGCACATGTTTAGATGCGGACAAGGAAGCTTGCGAAGTTAGACAGAAGTGCCTGTTCTCTTGGTGCTCTTGTGCAGTCTGAATGCATCAATGCAGGACTACCCTGACCTATCACAAGACAGTCGTGTTTCTCCTTCCAAGGTGCCAGAATCACCTGGCATTGATCTAAGCTAGTCTGTTCTGATTGCCTGCTTGGAAGAATGGCTTCTTCTACTTTGAGGACCAAGGACAGCTGGTGTTCCGGGACTTAGTTTTAGGGAATTCAAAAAGGAAAGCAAGAAAAAGGGTGATGCAAGTTTTGGAGCAGCCAGCATATATAGAATTTCTAAAGGAGCCTGTAACTCTGAATGGTTCTTTAAGGGTCTAAGTTAAAAGTTACAAGTTGGGATTGTGTACCCTACTGATGGAGTGGCCTCATTAAGACAGGAGGTAATTTCTGGCAACAGTGTAGTGCAGAAGGAACAGTAGCTCTGGAACAAGTTTTGGGGGAAGAAAGCCTAGTATTTGAATAGAAGACAAATCTGCAGTGGATGCAATTAATTAGCAAGAATGTCTTAGAAACTGTACTCTCTTTTTTTCCTTCATTAAACTCAGTTTGCTCTATACAGATGTTTAATTATTTAGTATTTCAAATTCAGTTATTTTCTTCCCATATGAATGACAATCCTTACTCTAATGCTTTTGGAGGGATTGGTATTTTAAGATGTTGCACATCTGCCACCTCAAAGATGAGCCCAAGTAATTTTCTCAGGATAACTGAGTCCACAATGAGCACAATGGCTACATTTAATTGCCAATGCAAGGATATGCAAGGTAAAAATGTAAGTTCATGTTGCTAAGACTCCGAGTTTTGAAAACTTATCTTGTATGATTATTAGAAACAGCAAAGTTTAAATGCCACGAGATAACAAAAATATACAATTCCTTCCTTTTTAGAAGGTTCTGCTTCTTACATGGCCTCGTATGGCCTTGAAATGCTTTTCTCCCAAATACCATACGCTTTGACTGTTGCTTGCTGCAGCTGTACATGTATGCTACTCAGAATGATTGTATCCTCTATATATAACAAAATAACAGCAAGAAGAGTTAATGAAATTAACCTAGTAATTTCTAACAAGGGAAAGGGGTTCTATGAGAACCATTATGATTCATGGATTGCTACAAGCAGGTTTCATAACTGAGTCCATGTGCCAAAATTAAGATGGAATGGATCTAGATGAGTGCAGCAGTTAAATATACTGAAGAAATAGCAGTATATACAAAAGATATGCACTGCTTACCCGACGCATACTTTTTAAGGTGCTTAATGATGTTTTGAAGAGTGTAGCAACATATACATATATGAAGGGTATACATAGCTAACTGTATGGTAGGAACATAATACAGAGCCAGATATTTTCCCAGATCCCTGATTTCATTAGATTCTCTAACTCATAAGAACGTATTTAAAGCATTTCATATAAAATATCTACACAATGTAAATGGGGATGTCCACATAAAAACACTCCAGTTTCTTTGATAGCTTGCCGTTCGCGGGTTGGGTTCAGCTTTGTTTCATAAAGATGCCATCTGGACGAGCGAGAGTTTGAACAGCTGTGCGTGGTAGGACAGCTCTGTCACTCGGTTCACCATCTCCTGCAGTGCTGCTGTGTGTGGGTAATGCAAGGCCGCCATCTTGGTAGCGGTCACGATGCTCTTCAGCAGTTCGCACAGCTGGTCGCTGGAGTTGCGCACCTTGTTGCGTATGTCCTGGGATGTCAGCTGCCTCGTGAGCGTGTCCCCGATGAACACCAGTTTGTGGGCGCTCAAAATGACAAGTTTGCTGTGAGCAACGAAGATCCGGGGGGGCTGCGAAGCGCTGACGCAACTGAAAAAGGCATCGATGGTGTTGAGGAGGGAATTGAAATGAGTCTCGTATTGGTCAGAATAGAACAAAAGCGGCTGTCTGTCGTGGGAGGCAATAGTGCTGTTGGCAGTCTGCAGGGCCTGCGGTGGCTTCCATTTTGAAATGTCGTTCTCCACAGGCTTTGTGATCTCCTGTTCCAGCCGCTGGAACTGATTGATCTGAAAGGTGAATAAGAAGTGTCTCTTTAAAGCCTGTTCCTGGAAGATGTTATGTATTGCAATTACATCTGCCTCAGAACAGCAGTGGGTACCCTAGGGTATCTTACGCTCCAAGAAAAATATCGTATGTCTTTTGAAACATACTGGAGAGTGAGGGGTGCTTTCATTAACAGAAGTCCAGGCAGAGGTCAGAAGACAAAAACGTCTACACCACTTCATCTGTGTTCAGAAGCCTACTGAATTTACAGGCTGCTGCTCATGTGGAGTATGCTGCAATCAGAAGTGAGAGCTGGATCGGAGCGGCACTGACACCTACGCAACCTTTAAAAGCCAGCCATCTCTGTGGGATTTTGAGATGACAAACCTTCAACTCTCAGCTCCTAATTACTTTTAATGGAAACAAAAACAAATGGGAAATTAAAGACAGAACGCTTAAAGTGATGATGAAGCTGAAGTTTAATATGCTCAGAAGGTAGGAGAAGTAGAACTGTCACTGTAGTCACTGTCCTCTCCTACAAAAGTGGGGGGAATGGCCATGTTCTCAGCTCTTTTGTTTCTTCCATGTAGAATTTTCTGCCGTGTGTGTGGCACTGCACGTTTTTGTTCTTTGCATTTCTAACTCCCTTAATTTTGGAGACTGATGGGCACAAATCTTGCTTGGAAAAAAACTAACCCAGGGCTACTTGTTAGCCAAGACCCAATACCTTCCATCTTCACAATATGGCACCTGGGACTTCCCAACTGTTTGTTCTGGCACTCATACACACCTCACAGCCACGCTGTTAACAGTCACACGCTGCTAAGGAAAGGGCCCCTCCTGCTTTATTTGACCAGTACTCCTTACGTGCAAGGAACATTACATTTCCATGTGATTATTGCACCTGAGCAAACATACCTGATGATGTTCTAGCTCCATTTTGCTCTGCTTGATGATATTTTCTTTTTCTAGTAGTTCTTTCTGTTGCCTTTCAAATTCTTCTTTCCCCTGTTTTGCATAATGTAAAAAGACAGTGTTAAATAAAAACCATTCCTGAGCTAAAAGACAACCTGTAGGCCAAACAGCAGGCTTCTTTGCGAGGGCTTTTTCACTGGGAGTACACCCCTGAGAGCTTAGAGGAATAAAAAGGATAGTGGGGCAAGGGCAAAAGGCTATTGCTATTGTCTGTGCAACAGATCTATTTGAGAACAAGTAATCACCCAGGTGATCTTACTCTTGAGTGTGTCTTAGTGTGACAATTTGATTGCAGCTTTCCTGCAAACAGCTCTTACTTGGTCTTGCACAGAATAAGTTGTTGGTTTTGCCTACCTGCAAGTGAACATAATCGTAGTCATCCATCCAGCTCTTTTCTGAGCTCTCGTTAACGATATTGTGAGGTTGTTGACCTTTACTCAGGATAGGAGGAAGAGAACTGAAGTGATTCTGTGTTTTTTCTCCATGACGCTGCACGTGAGGACTGTTGTATGCATACTCAGGAGTGTTCATATTCTCTGGGACGCTCCTGAAACGTGAGCTGCCTGACCCCTGTTTGAACAGGAGCTCTGCGTTGACGCTGATGGTGGTGGTCAGTTGCTTGGCGTCGTCTGGCACTGTCTTTGCCACCATAACAAACCGATCCAGGTCATCACACTTGTTCTGCAGTCTGTTGACAGCGAGAACGTTCAAAGACCAGTTGTAGCTGTTCAGGTCATGACTGGTTTGGGTAAGGATCTGGTGAGAGTCCTCCAACCTTTGCACCTCCCTTCTCATTTTGTTATGAAGGCTGATCTCGGAGAGAAAGGAAGCGTTGGCTGCTGATCCTTTTGCAAACTGAAGGTACTCCAGCAGTGACTGCTCTACCTTATCCACGGCAGCGTGAATTTCATTGATGTGTTTCTCCATGTAGCCGTAAGACCGCCAGTCTGCTGTAGTGAAGGCCATGAGGTTATTGACTGCTGTCTCCACCATCTGCTGAAGATGATAAAGCCTCTCTATAGCAGTGTCTGGATCAAGGATTAGTCTTTTGTCCTGTGCAGTTGTTGCTGAGAAAGAAGAATCCTTTGATGTTGTTGAAGATGTGGACATGTTACTCCTTGTGCTTCCCGTGCTAGAGAAAGACAACCTATTCATCCCATCAGTCACATCTTGTAAGCCTTTAGTGTCTTGGAGCATTGGTGGTGGCACATCATATACACCTTCTCTTCCCTCTGAGGCTAGACTTTCATTGAGTCCTGTCTGTTGTCCTGGGAAAGCAATTCCCCTGGGGGTATCATAAACATCTTTCTGAGGTGCAATCTGCTGTCCAAGAAAATGGTTTTGATGGTTTACGGGGATGTCATAAACACTCTGTTTGTGTGGCGCTCCATCAGTCAATACAAGACCCTCAGAAGTGTATTTCTTGATCAGTTCTTTCCCAGTTGTTTTGGTGATAGGAGGAGGAATATCATACACTCCTTCTTGTCTTGCACTGTTCCCCACTGGAGATGAAAAATCCTGCAAATTATCCCTCAGGCCTACGTCATCTCGGCATGCAGATGGGGGTGCAGCATACATCTGAAACACAAAAAGCAAACCATGAAAACTCTGGCTAGAACAGCAAAACAATTTTCCATTTTCCATGTGCCAAATAAAATGCCTGGATGGAAGATCTGCCATTGAATTCCATGGAGTCAGACACTTATCTCAAGTTTGAAGGAGCACCAGCTTTAATACTTCACATTTTAGGGTTGGTTTTTTTTTTTGATGCACGTTCTCACAAGCAGCAAAATCCAAGAAGGCAGGATGCTGCCACAAAGATAATCCAGGTCTAATGACCAAATCACATTACATAACACTAGAAGTTTTGATACAGTGCTTTGCTATATCAGTTTTAACGAGCACCTTAAAAGCTTAAGGAAATCTTTCAAGTTCTGAATCTCATTTTCCTTTGGGATCATACATAAACTTTGGTCACTCAAGGAAATACAGGATCTTGTGGAAACTTATGACACTTACTCCTTTGGCAGGTGGCACATCGTAGACTCCTAAAGCTTTTGCATCTCCGGTGGGAACTGGATGTGCAGTCCCTTTTGCTGATGTGGGGGGGATGTCATATATCTGAAGAAAAAATAAATTGGACAGTTAGGAAATACACTCTGCAACTGAGCGAATGGCAGGCTGGAGAGATGAAGTCACAACTGACTTCCATCCCAAAGGTTAAATCAAGGTCAGTTTATTACAGATGTCTGTTGGGGTAAAAAGGGAAGCAGTATGTTTGTGTGATTAGAACTGATGAGACTGATAGAGATCAGAGGGATGGAGGAATAAGCTTGTAGTAATACATGCTATTAAACTCTGAGATTAGGGCTGCCCATGCTAGGACCACATATCTGCTTCATCAGGTGTGGGTGCTCCTAACAGCAGGGGGTACAGCTGCTAGCTGTTTCAAGTATTCCACTTGGTGGCATGTCCTGCATTACAGTGGGTTCTCCGTGTGGTCCAAGGCTAACTAACACCTGAATGTCTCTCACTCAAGGTTTCTCAAAAGTTCCAGCCACTCAGTGCCAGGCTGTTATGTACTACTGGGCATCAGTGATGTTCCCTAGAGGAGCCGTGCTGTCAAAAGAGCCACAGAGAGTTGTGGAGCTGTTGAGTTACAGATCCTCCACGCGTTTACTTGGGATGTCCATGGTCTTGGGGACCATGTACCAAAGGTGTTCCCCAGAACGCAGATGTGTTTCAAGTTCAGTGACATGGTGCAGCAGACATATGATGAAAACAATTCCCTGCATGGTAGCTGTTCATCCAGGAGATAATTTTACCCTTACTGAGTGAATTACTGTCAACTATGCAACAACAAAGTAAGGGGAAAAAATGTTCCCAGGCATTAAGTTTATTCTGTTTAGATATTCTGTTTGATCAGAACACTGAAAACAAATGGGCTTTTTGTATTTGGTGTGCTGCCAGACCTTACTCAACATCAAATACGACTCTGAAACACTTTCTGCAATCTGTGAAAAAGCTAGTCAACCCAATTAAAACTTGTTTTCTCTCAGAGATAGCTCTGCTCATAAACTTCTGGTAGAAAATAATCATCTTTTGTGCCCTTTCAGTGTGCTTTATTGGTACTTACCCCTTGGAGAGGGCGAATAGGAGGGACATCGTAGGTATCCTTCTGGTATTTGGAAGGGAATTCATAAACATAACCTTGTCCTGACCTGACTGGAGTCACTACCTGTGAGATAGAAGAAGAGGAGGAAACATAAGCCTTTGAAGATGTTGGCATGTTCTCTCTGTAACTGCAAAGGGTTCTCAGTGTAAACATTCTAGTACTATTAACATTCACATTGTAGATGGCAGTGTTAGTAACACCAGTCTTCGTGTATGTCTGATAGCTGAACGCTGCAAAAAGCTACACCTGTACTGTTTTTTACTTTTAGGCCAGTTCTGACATGGCTGCTTGCTTATCTCCTATTTGTCAAGCATAGATTCTCCACCAGATCTAAGGGAACTTTGTCCCTTCGTCTCACTGACTGCCCTTTAGCACAGACCACACAATGTGATGGTCGCAGCACCCACTCACTGAGATCAGCACTTGGTACACCTTGCTAATCCTACTGAGGTGCCCTTCCATGCTGACAGAGGCTCAAAGTAACAAATCAGGCTCTGGAAGCATTCCTCCTTTGCTCATGGAAATGCTTCCCACCAACTCCAGCAGAATGTCCTGCATTACTGTGCCCCACAGGAGAACATCCCGGATGACAGAGTGTGAGCAATGGCTTTGAAAGTTCTTTACATAGAAAGGCTATGCTTTAGCTTACCAAAGTGAGACCTTCATTTATGCTGTCTCCATTTGGTTTGTCTTTATCAGTGGCTGAGAGGAAATGTTAAGTCATTCTTGAAGCATACAATGTAAGAACAGCCTCTGAAAAAAAGCTGAGAATTTACATTTTTGTCATTCTATAGACCATTAGCTCCCATAATGACTTCAAATAAAATTTGGTCAAAAATAAATGCCTTATGTTTTGGACAGCATCTGCGTGGCAGAATTTCAGTATAATGTGGTATATATAAAAAAAAAGATGTTACCTAACCTCTAGAAAGAGCTGGTTTTATAGTGGAAATGCTGACATCTTAACCTCTGCCACTGCTATTTAGCTCCAACAAGAACAAATATAAATACCATAACCTGGGGGCATAAAATGACAAATTACACAGGGCCATACAAGATGCGGTTTTGTGCTCAGCTGGGGAGAATTCTTTACCAGAGCTACTTAACTATCTTTAGAAACGTATGCAAGATGTGAAACTGAGTTTCTGACCACGTGCTCATAGCAGTTTTTGCTATAAGAGATCTTAGCATCCTGGCAAAATTTCAATGCGAGTATCTTTGCTACCTTAACAACGCAGGCTTTTCCTCTTTTCACTTGCTCTGCAAATATTGCTGTGTAGTTTTTGGCACTGTACCATGAAACAGTCACTGGATTTTTTTCCCCTTAGGGTGACTGTCGTTACCTGTTTGGAATATGGGTCCCATTCAATTGGGAGTAGCCCAAGGCAACGTTCTTCCCTGCAGTGCCAGCGCTGCACTGACTGTGAGGTTGTGGTAGGTGAGGGAGGAAGGACAGCTGTGGCAGGTGAGGAAATACAGCGCTTCACTGGAGCTGCTTCTCCTTGAATTAGCATCAGAGGACAGAGAAGACAGAACTGAAGCAATGCTGAGTAGGAGCGTCCCTGAGAGGAGTCCTGCTGAAGTGAGCGCGGGATTGATGGGGTTTAAAAAGAACCTAAAAATGCATTAAATTTACTGAGTTTATTTCTTCCCCTCAGACTTACTTACTGCATTGTAAGAGAGATGTAAGCACAAAACTTTAAAGCAAGTTCTCCCTTGTAGTACTGGAATTTTACCAAAATGGATCACTGCAGACACTGTCCCTCCCTGGCCTTCCTCATGTAATCCTGGGATTATGTTGTTTGCCTGAGAAACTTTTAGCTTATGTCAACACCTCTTCCTCATGATATTTCTGGCCTGTGAGGGCCAGAGATCAGACCAGCACAGCTTGCATCCCTTTTTCCTTCAGTTGGGTGCTGCCAGTCAAACACTTTCCACCCAAGTTAGGAACAGAAGGACTTGGCTTTAAGCAAAGTATACTGCAAAGATCCGAGGGTTTCAGAATTACAGCCGTGGCCTTACTTCAGTAATAAGCCACTGAACTCTTAAAGCAGGAAGCAATGTGCAGCACCTCTGTAGAAGCTTTATGGCACCTCAAGTTCTTCAACATTTACACAGCAGTATTACCATGCAGCTGCTGTTATTCTTGTTGATAGTCCTTGGAGATGATCCCATTTCTCAGAGAAGGCCGATGTACCAGATGCTGTATGAAAGGCTTCAACGGATACAAGGCTGCTGCTTTCATTTACTGTGCTAAAACAGCCTGAGAGCGGCCTTTCAGTATCTAAAAGGGGGCTGTAAGAAAGAAGGGAACAGACTCTTTAGCAGGGTCTGTGGTGACAGGATGAGGGGAAATGGTTTCAAACATACAGGGAAGATTTAGGTTGAATTTAAGGAATAAGCTGTTTGCAGTAAGGGTGGTGAGGCACTGGCACAGGTTGCCCAGAGAGGTGGTGGATGCCCCATTCCTGGAAGCATTTAAGGTCAGGCTGGACAGACCTGATGGAGCTGTAGGTGTCCGTGTTCATTGCAGGGGAGTTGGACTAGATGGCCTTTAAATGTCCCTTAGCTCAAACGATTCTATGATTCTTTGATCATGGAAGCCTAAATAACCACACTAAAGCTAGAGTGGTCAGATGAACACCAATTTCACTTAGATTTTTGACACTTTTGCATTTGCTCAGACTTGACTAAGCTGACACAGTAGTGCCCCAGGGCCACCCCTTTATTTGAGTGAAACAAGCCCCTGCTCTGGGTGTTTCTGGGTGACAACAGCAGTGAGAGTTATAAACATGACATACCTTATTTGGGGTATTCGTGAGCACAGCCTGCCTACGTGGGTGACTGTGAACACAAGACCTGAGCTGTCTGTAGAGCTGCGCTTAGCAGTGCACTGTACTTAAGGTGGCATTTATTTTCCAAATAAAATTGCCTGAGGCTTTTATGTCTGCTCATTTTTAGGCTTTTGAAATAGCAAAGACACAAAATACAGTTGTAAAAAAAAAACAGCAACACCCAGCAACAGCCAAGGTCTGTTGATAATATGAAAGACAACTCTGTTCTCCTAGTGACTCAGGTGTATTTTCCTGTGTGAGGATTATGATCTAGTAACAACATGTTCTGAGTGATTTCATCATAAAATTCCCCACAAATGCTGATATGTTCTGCGCTGAGTACAAGAACATTTCCTGTTGTACCCCCGCTCCTCTTCCCTCCCAACACTTTTAACTAGGTTAAACTTGCCTTCTGTTGGACTGCTTGTTCCCAGTCAGATCAGAACAGAAGCTGCTCATCACCAAAACATACCTTGAGGTAATGTTTTGTTACGCTAAGTAAAAGAATCATAGAATGACAGAATTGCTCAGGTTGGAAAAGACCTTCAAGATCCTCAAGTCCAACCACAACCTAACCATACTACCCTAACTCTAACAATCCTCCACTAAATCATGTCCCTGAGCACCACATCCAAACAGATTTTAAACACATTCAGGGATGGTGACTCAACCGCCTCCCTGGGGAGCCTGTTCCAGTGCTTAAAAGAATGCCCATGCTGCCTGATGAAATGAAAACATGGAACATTCCCTGCAACTCTCATGTTACCTGAAACACCAGTATCTCGTATGGGAAGCTGGGACATGGGGCTGTACTGCTTCTTCTGAAGGATGAAGAGGGAGGTAGCAGGGTGGATGAACTGAGAAAGCCATCAAACCCAGTATCTGCAGAAGCAACTTTTGATTTGGGGCTATTCACCCATAAATACGTTAAATGAACTTGCTGCTTCTGAATGGGATGCTCAAACCTTTCAGGGCATTGCTGAACTAGATAGCATGGTTTTGCATGTTTGATGGCACTTTAGTTTTGAAGATGGACTTCAGAAGGAAGGCTGTGGCTGCAAAAGGAAAGGTGCCCTTTCTCTCACTTGTGAAAAAGTACTAGCAGCCCTGCCTGGCATTTAGGGATTTGTTTCCCAACAAATGTCACTGAACTTCAGACCACAAGACAATTCCTTTTTGTCTTACCTCCTCTATTTTAAGAATGCCTGTGGTTATCTGAGTTTAAATAATCCTGCATTTCAAACCAGCAATTTTCCTTGTTTACGTGTTAAAGGAAACAGATGGTGTTCCCACAAACTATCCAGCCCAACATTCTCAAAACATTGTTAACCACTTAATCCATGCAGAGCAACTAACAGGGACCAGGTTTGGCTCTGGTGAAACATGTAATGGGCCCACTTTAAGCTTTCAGTACTGGAAAACAAAGGCAACTGAACAGAAAGTTTGTTCTGTTCTTGCTGTAGACCACACTCTTCCAAAGCAATTACTTGAGCCTTTTCCATGCCAACTGCATGCTTCTGACCAAGAAAAAGAGCTGAATGTGCAAGTACTTTGCAAAATATTGAGCCCTGTGGTTCACTATTAAAACCCTCTTCCTTAAACATAAGGAAAAAAAATAACATTCTATTTCTTCCGGAATTAAAATTGAAGTTAGGTTACAACAGAGAACATTCCTAACCAAAGCAGTAACAAAACAGTTCTTGTGTTTCCTGCAGGCACACAAAACTGTAGTTTACATTGTTTAAAGATTACATAGGACAAGTAAGCCTACTGAAGCCAGCTGAATTCCTCTGGATTTCAGCAGGACTGTGGAGGCAGAATGCAGCCTCTTCTCAAGAACTGCAGCACTCGATGTACAGAATGATGGGAAATGTGCTTTGCTGAGTTTCACAGGTAAGAAAACCAAAGCACAAGTATGCTGAACAACTTGCCCCAGAATCACCTGATTGCTTTTAAAATAGATGAGTGCTCTTCAGAGGTGAGGAACAGAAGGGATGTGTGGTAAGATGTTATAGTCATGCTTTCAATCTGGTGGTGGATAGTGATAGGACAAGGGGGAATGGTCTTAAACTGAGACAGAGGAGATTTAAATTAGATATTGGGAAGAAGTTTTTCACTCAGAGGGTGGTGAAGCACTGGAACAGGTTGCCCAAGGAGGCTGTGGATGCCCCATCCCTGGAGGCATTCACGGCCAGGCTGGATGTGTCTCTGGGCAGCCTGGTCTGGTGG